TCTACTGATCCTTCCCTCCGCCTCTCTCCTTCCTGGCACAACAGCAGAAGGATCTAACGGAGAAATCATGAAAAAAATCGTCACCCTTTAAAAAAAAAAATCTTGAGCACCAAATAAATCAGTACAAAACCTGTTGTATTTACCCATGTGACTGTGTACAGGATGGGGTTTGCGTAGTATACACCAGGATGTTTCACTGTTGAAACTTTGCTTGGACCAAAATCCTCTCCTAGTGTGACTGCCAGGGCTGCTATGGCCGTCAGAAACAACAGACACACCACAAGCTGAGGGGAGGAAAGACAGTCAAGATTGACAGTTAAATCATATTAAAGTCCATATAGAGATTTTTTTAAACTGTAATTGAACTTCTTTGTTGAAAAAATACCATATAAAATACCAAACCAGCCACAGATTACTATTGCAAGCTTCTGCGAGTGTTTCTATACATCTAAAAAATGTCTGGAGGAGATAGTATCGTTGCCCACTTGGACCAAGATTTCATAATCATGGGGTACTTGTTGCTCTTCCTCATCTCAGCATGAATTATGACTAGAACAGCATGCCTTTCAGTGTGCATGAATTACCTGTTTGCAGATGTAGCGCTTGGACAAGTGTTTTGTGTCCACTTGTGTTCTCCTGCAGAGAGACAGTAAGTGTCGTGGGGCACAGAGCCACAGGAACCCCAGGGGGATCCAGACCAGCACCGTCTGCTCTACACATACTGGGAGGTCGGGGTCTTCTCTATTCAGATATGAAGCATTCTGAGGTGTACACACAAACACACACATGCTTACGTCACACAAGGAGAACTTTTCACTGAATGACAGAGCCCTCCTAATCTCAGAGGAAGGCGAACACAAAGGCACTCTCATCCGTGTACCCCCAGAGACCCACAACACCTCCCCGATCAGAAATGTAATCAACAGTGACTCATATTTGATTAAACCCTAAATCCCTGCTTATGGTTGTATGCACAGCAGCATGAGTAATTTGCACCTTCGAAGAAGAGAGAAATGGAGAGATGGGTGGAAATGGACTAACAGGAATGTGGAGTGAAAGGAGCGAAACACTGATGAGTTCAGCGTGTTATCGGAATACCCTGAAACAATACAGAAAATGTAGCTTTTCAAATGCTTTAAAAGTATGTCAAGCACTTATCACCTGCTCAATGGGCAACCTGTACTACTGCGAATAATACAAAATAATAAAAAATATAATTATTATCATTTTTTTTCGAGACTGAACTTTTCAAAATCATGTTACAAAGTGCTACACAAAGGCAGCTCAACAAAACAGACATGTCATACGTCATCATCTTTAAAATAAACAAGTAAACAACATACTGGGAGTCAGTGAAGACATGAATAAAACAGAAGTGATGTGATCACATCTCTCGGTTGTGGGTTAAAGCCTGGCAGCTGTGTTCTGTACACTCTGGAGTCGATCAATAGATGGCATAACGTATTTTGATATGTGCTGGGACCCAATGACAAAGGACCTCTCTTTTGTTAGGGTCAGATGATCGAAACATTTTTGACATCCAGTTTTTGACTTCACAAAGGTAAGCATTAAACTAAGCAGTGGATCTAACAGCATAAAAATGAAAATAAGGATGAGCCATTACACAGGCTACACTCTTGATACTAATAATAGCGAATGTTTTTATGTTTTCTGGATGGCATCATGTGTTTATTAGCATTGATGTATTTTACTCAGGCAATTACGTGGATGCTTTATCAGCTAAATGGATTCTGTCATAAGTTTCCCAATGAGGGGAAAGAAATTGTCAGCTACAAATAACACTTGTTTTCACTAGAGGTTAATATATTTTATATTAATTAACAGTTTAGTCTATGAAACAAAGAAGTGAAAACATGCCAATCACAACTTCCCAGAGTCAAAGGTGATGTCTACAAATTATTTTTTGTCCGACAAAAACTACAAGACCCAAAGATATTCAGTCGAATGACAAAGAAATGCAGCAAGAAGCTGACACCACAGTGTGTAGCATTTCCCCAGTTTTTTTAAACAAAAATAAACAAGCAGCGTTATAGCTCATAAACATAAAAGCTGACTCATATCTTACTTAAGAGCCATTAGTTGTCAGTCACATGTTCACTGAGCTCACTGTGTACAGGGGTGGAAACACGTAACATCTTTCATATAATAGTTCATAGCATGTCTTCTCACGCATGCTGAAGGGAATAGACACAAGAACACGAGCACCTGTACAAATACCACAGTCAGATGTAGGAATCATGCAATGTTACAACCTTTATTAAGAAGCGCACAGAGCTCATTTGTTTTGAATGTATCAACAAGATTTATATTTGTCATTTTGTAATACCATTTTAAACACAAAATAAACAAAAAACTAAAAAGACAGTTTGTACTTATCGGAGATTTAGTATTATATTAAAGTACACAGGTGATGTTGTATTTCTGTATTTCTCCAGTTACATTTAAGTGAATTCGCTCTATAAGCCAACAATCATACGTGTGTGCATCAAATGTTTTACATGTTTTTCTTCTTTGGAGTCAACTGTGATGACCTGGAGGCCACAATGAAGCCATTGTCCCCCCCCCCCCCCCCGCCAACCCGCACTAACTCACCCAAAAGACGGACCCACAGTATTCCTCCAGAGCTGCAGCACACATGGTCCACACTGATCGCTTCAGTCGCCTTCAGATGACTAGACAACCAGACGCCTCTCACCCTCTGCTCCACTGCTGCCGAGCTCGGCTCAAACGCTCCCTCTCGCTCCCCTGTCCACCGACACTCCAGAGACAATTGCAGGATGTGACTCTGTGGAACTTTGAGCCTTGAGGCTTTTAAGCAGAAACTAAACCTTGCGGCCTCCTTGTGCAGAGGAAAGATGCACTGGGTTAATGAAAAAAAAGCAGATGGGTTAATGCCTAACTTGCATCTTGATTTATTTATTTTTTTGTTGAGGATATAGATCTTAAGGGTTGTCATCTGCCAGTACTCGTTTGATGTCTGGAAGAGGGACACGCACATCCAGCCGTCCGGATGGGAGAATGAATAACTCAAAAACTGTAGTCAGAGTCATTGAAAAAATCCTGCCGTGACCAGCCCACAGACACTCCTCAACGCTCTGATTTGTCTAAAGTTCAATATTTCAGACAAGGGAGCTTGCACAAGTATTACTGTGCTGTTTTTCCTCGTGTTAGGGGGAGGGCCTCCCAAAAAGGGAATGTGTTTAGGGAAGGGGAGGGAGAGGGCTCTTTAGACCCCCTTTTCCTGTTGTGTTTCCACTTATACTCTGGTTGCCTTCACTTTCTCTGGACGGAGACTTATGTTCAAGTCACATCAGATTAGTTTTAGGCAATCATGCATTCGAATCAGTGACAATACATGTACAGTACAAGACCAAAAAACAATGGTTTGTGCTACTGTGTAAAATCACCGGGTTTTCTTCACGTTAATGTCGAGTTATTTTTAAAAGACCTTTCCAGACGTAAATTGCTACCAGACACCAGTTCAACACAAACCACTGAAACAAAAAAAGCACTGCCGTTGGTGAGTATGTGTAAGTCTGTCTGCGTTTAAAGAGGAAGATGAACTCATGACACAAAAATGTATCAACAGTACCGCTTTGTTATGGTTGTGATCCGTGTGTGCCTGCCATCCAGCCTCATAAGATGTAAACAGAGAGGATGCAACCACTTCAGCATGTTCCCAGCTTTATACGGCCAATTTCTAACAAACGAATTGAACAAAAACAGAGCTGACAAACATGATTATACTACTATAATTGGTAGTGTCAACAAGCAAACATTGTGATACAAATTGCCTAAATTGCAATGGAGTAAAATGATTACTCAGCATGCCCAAGGCAGATTTGTTGTATAGTAATTCATTTACATTGCTGCAAATGCAACTACTTTTATCACCAAAGCGTGTGTGTCAGGTCTTTCAAGGAAGGTGGCAATCTTTACAACAGCATACTTGGACTGTGTGGCGGTTAATAATTACATTGATTTAATAACATCCACATGGGGGGGTAATAATATGGCTGACTCATTGCGTGGACAGCCCCAGCGATAGCCATGTGACACATGCTGGAACTGAATCTGATAAGTCGGATTGGAGTCAGAGCCTTCAGTTATCAAGCTCCTCTTCTGTGGAACCAGCTTCCAGTTTCAGTCCGGGGCGCAGACACACTCATCACATTTGAGAGTAGGCTTAAGACTTCCCTTACGCTTATAGTTAGGGCTGGCTCAGGTTTGCCTTGGTTCAGCCCCTAGATATGCTGCTATAGACTTCCTATGATACACTGAGCACCTCTCTCCTCTTCTGCTGTATGAATTCATGTCCCATTAATGCACATTACTAACTTTGCATGTTCCCAGGAGCCTTTGTGCTTTCTCTCCTCACAGGTTTCTATGGATACTGGTTATACCTGGACCCTGGTCCTTCCTCCTGTCATGGCCCTGCCTGACACCCACTGCTACGAACATTGTTATTATTAGTCATATTGATTGCTATTGCCGATTACCATTACTGCTTTTGTTATCATTGTGATTTTTCTATAACCACCCCTGCTGTTATTACTAGTTGTAATTTTTCCATCATTTTTCTGCTTGTCACTCTCATTATATGAATCATTTCTGTCACATGCATGTAATGTGTTGTAACTCTGTTATGTTGTTCATTCTGTACACATCTATTGCACTTCTGTCCAACTGTGGAAAGATTTCTTCCTTGATTTTCCTCCCCGTTAAAGGGATTGTTCGGGGGAGTTCTTCCTGCTCCGATGCGAGGATCCCGGCAGAGGATGTCGCATGTGTTCAGATTGTAAAGCCCTCTGAGGCAAATTTGTGATTTGTAACTTTGGGCTACACAAAATAAATTGAATAACAAATATGGTGCTAATCATGACCTTCTATACTAATTAGCCCTTAGCATCTATCTGCTAAGTCTGAATGCTTGTTGCACAATAGTGAAGTGCAGTTACTATATTAACAAGGACTTCCACTGAAGCTGTGAGAAGCTATGTAGAGGGGGAAGGCAAATGCCGAACACAGCTTCAAGAGGACGTAGGGCGGTTAGGGTAGAATCATTATGCAATTTGTATTTTACAAAATGGCAAAAATAATAATTATACAACTGATAGCAATTTGAAACCAGAGATGTGTATAATACTTGTTTGAACACAGTTTCTTATCCAGCTTGGACATTTTAGCACGGTATCCTGTATAGAAGAGGCAGAGGTCCCCTTAAAGAAAATACAGAATAGGCTAAGACTAGAGAGGAACCGGTTAGTCGATAAGCAGAAAAAGTTTGATAAACAATTGCTTGTTTATGTAACTTTATAAGCAAAATGTCAAAAACATTCCTGGTTTCAGTTTCTAAATTGTGAATATTTGCTTGTTTTCTCAGTCTTCTATGAATTGAATATTTGTAGACTGTTGACCCAACAAAACAAGAAATTAGGATACGCAACCTTGGGCTCCGTGTTTTTAAAAAAAAAACTGAAACATCACAATTTATAGTCTGAGTTTTATTCTAATAAATTTAAACTATAATTTCTAATCTATTAATATTCATTGTAATGTAGATCTAGTAGGTGTCCGTTACATGCATTTAGAAGAGGGTAGACAAATGAATGAAACTGGTTTATAACTAAATGAATTAGAGACCGTTCATCATTAACACAGAACTACAATGCTGTCAGACATTGGTATCACTATTGGACTCAAAAGATAGAAGACGCAATACGATATTACTGTTTGCTAGTATAGCTCAGCACATTTGTTTCTAAGATGTACGTTTGGTGAAGTAACTGGATAACTTTTCTCCAATAAACCCAGAACAGGTGGTCATCAGTCAAGTTCCTATATATTAGTCATTCAGATGACTCATCAAACCTGGTTCTTGAAACAACCCCTGGGTGTTTACTTGTATGGGATCAAAGGCTCTTCAGGCGGAGTCTTATCTTTCGCTGTATAGTAACATGTTACTGGGCTGCATAGATTACGCCACATAGTTGTAATGCCACACGAGTCTGTAGTGTTGAAAATGATGTTTTTTTTACAAAGATTAACAAGGCAAATTGACATTTGTGACGTAAAATAATGGTAAAAAATACTTATTGCATCCAAATGATGGTATAAAACAGATTATTATGACATGGCATCATATTATGCCTCCGCCATGTCAGTGCCCCATTGATCGTCTAATTAATCCGCCCCGTTGTTGAATGAATCACAGGTTCACTAACTCAAATTTGCCATGTCGATACAGCCTGTTTGGATATGAGTGAACATGAAGAGAGAAACATGACTCTCCAACCTCTTAAAACTCATGAACAATAATTAAAACTAGTCTAAATGAAGCATGATTCTGCATTAGTATGGCATATTTCCACAGCTGATTTAATAAGAGACTGGTTTTAAATGCAGGAGACATTTGATGGCAATAAACACAAGTGAACAGAATTGTTCAATTATTTGGGACTTTAATTGAATTCTGAGCAAACTCACAATGTTTTTGTCCTTGTAAAAAAAGTACAAGAGGTCACAACTTTGCATTATTTTTAACTGAATAGGGAGTGCTGTAAAGAAATATAGTTCAGCTACATGGCAACTTGAAAACACACTGTTCTGAAAACAGCAGCACCGATTTTACATTTTGCAATCTATTGTGTATATTATTACACTTCTTTTGAGGCAACATACAGGTGTGCAATAATATATGTAAATTATGAATCACTCTAGGTTTTCCCTGAGCTCCAATTTTATAAGGACTGGTTAATCAGGGATTTAAACAAAACAGGAGAAAAAGTTCAGAAATATCTATTTATTCTGGGCTTTAATGAAAATAAACGTCGACATATCAGTACAATTACTAATGATCACTTTTGAGGTATTTTGTTTTCTGTCATGAATGTCAAGGACCCATTCACATGGTATTTTTGGCTATTGCATTAAGAGTGCGGACCTTGCTCACGTCTGCCACCTTCAGGCCGTACTCTGGTGCAGAGAAAGCAGCTCCCATCATCACACAGGTGTTCCTGCACATGGAAACATTACACAGACAGCAACAACACAAAGATTTATCTTTAAGTTGTATTCCTTATAGTTGCCAGAAATCTTGTAATGTATGTAAGGATTGGAAAAATCATTCAGACCTGAACTTCATGGCAGAATCCCGACTGGAGCGGGCTGAGCAGTGAAACTCTTGAGCCCCCGTGCCCTCCAAAATCCTCTGCAGGTTCCTCTCAGTGATACCTCCTCCTGTTTCAAAAAATAAATAAACAATTTAAAAAAAAAACACATATACATTTGACAGGAAAAAAGCAGAAGTACTAACCTGGCATGATGGCAATTCTCCCTTTAGCCTGTTGAGTGGAAGGAAAAGGTGGAGAGTGGGACATTAAGAGAGAAACACAAGCTTCTCACCTACAATGACTTAGCAGCACGGACAAATAGCCCTTTACATATGCTTACATGTATGTGTACATATAAGTTATACATACCTGATCAATGAGCTGTTTAATGAGAGGGAGTCCCTCCAAAGCAGAGTTGTCACAGCCACTTGTCAAAAGACGCTGGAACCCTAATGACACCAGCGTCTCCAGGGCATTCGTTGGGTCAGAAACCATGTCAAAAGCTGCATTCAGATGAAAATATCAATTTAAAAACATGAGCTAAAGAGTCTGTGGAGGCACTGATGAATCTCTCTCATGGGCTTTGTGATAGCTTTTCTCCTGTAGATGGCAGCTGCATGGACTCTTTTCAAAAGCTTTGAATCTACATTTGATTTAAAAGGAGTGTTACCTCGGTGGAAGGTGACAGGCAAAGGTTGAGCAGCAGCTGGAAAGCAAAAAATGACAGTCAGAAAAATACATGGGATGACACAAAACGTTGTCAGTTGCAGTATAAAAACATTCTTAATATTTTACCTCTTTTTCTGAGTCTACACACAACGTATTGCCAGTTGTTTATTCAGTGCCACATATTTTATAAGACAAACATTTACTTCATACTGTGTTTTGTGAGCCACTGCCAACACAACTATCTTTGTTATGAATTATTGCTCCAATATTTTCTCTTTCTGATTCGCATTGTATTTTCTGGGAAAAGTCGTACTGTAACATAGAAGTCAAGCAAACCTATTGACTAATTATTGGAGGATGACTTCTGGAATAAATACAATAAAACATACTGCATATTACGCAACATTTAGAAAAAAAGACAAAAGTCATTGAGTAACTTTCCCTTGAGGTGGGCAGAACTAATAACATGAATGCCTAGATTCAATTTAAATCTAAGTGTGCCAACTTTCCTAAATGTACTGTAGACGCCTACAACTTGAGCAGCTAAATGGAATACAGCCATCGTTAATATTATTAATCACACCTCTGCCTTTCCCATTATGACATGTCAAAATGTCAACCGGTTATGTTGAGGACAATTGTTATTTTTTATATCCAATACTTTTGCATATAGTGCCACATGTATAATGCCCTACAAATGTAAATAAACATGAGGACTGGTCCTTTGTTTTGCTTGTGTGAAGGTCATAATTCGAAATGGCATTTTAGTGAGGGGTTTTGATTTGACAAGATTTTTAAAAAGACCATGGCGAGGACATTTCTGTTCTGTAAACTGGATCATTAGTGGAACTGAAAAGGTCAAAACCCCAGCTACTTGTCAAAGAACAACTTTAATATGTCAGACTTTTGATCACCTTGAAAGTAGGTGAAGTTGTGCCAGAAACACCCACTTTGCTTCTTTTGTGGAACTGTGCATCATGCATTGTTAGTAACTGAGAATCTTGGTTGTTTTAGATGAGATCAGGTGCACGGGCAGACAATACCCAGAAACTCCATACAGAGCTCCGCGTCCACCCGCCCGTCCTCTGTCAGCGCTCCCAGCACCAGTCCGTCGGCCCCGTGGCTCTTCATCATCTCTATGTCCTTCTTCATCACATCCACTTCCTGGTCAGAGTACAGGAAGTCCCCCCCACGAGGCCGTATCATCACGTAGACTGGAATTTTGACATACTGCTTCACGACCTGCAGCAGACCTGTGGCCAAGCAATTAATGAAGGCATAGGTGTGTTTGTCTGGTCTGTCTTCAGGGTTGTGTATGATTGTCTGTACAGAAATGAACTGAGCGGACCTTGACTGGGAGTGAGTCCTCCCTCCAGAAGACTAGAACACAGTTCAAGTCGACCTGCACCTGTGAAGAAAAACAAACCCTCAGACTGCACCTATGCACCTTTATGGTCTGTGACCTTTGAGAAATGAAATAACATCGCGCGCCCATTTATAACTCATCAGATTAGAGACAAGATAAGTTGTATGATTGACTCCAACCTCTCCCCCTACGAATGCATGTATCAACTCTTCAGCAAGTAAAGTGAGTTTAATAGACAATGTGCACCACAGCGTTCACTACGCATCACCAACCTCCTCGTTCAGCATTGACAGCAGACTCCACGGAGTCCACACATGCCTCCAGTAGAAAACTCTCTGACATCCCGACAGCCTGCGAGACAGACAGTCGGGAACAGGAAGAGATTAGTTAGCTAATCGTCAATGTGTTTGCTAAAAATAGGCTAAAACGTACACAATCATTTCGCTAAAAGAAGAAAAAACTTCCACAACAACTACCTGTCCAATCCACTTCAGATCTCCGTGGTCAACTCAGCAGACACTTGAATTTTAGTGCACCTATATGCTGAAATTCACGGTAAACGGAACAGATCGGGAGCGAGCGAAGGACTTTGCAAAGTTAGCGGAGGGATTAACGTGAGACAACATCCGGCTTTCAAAATAAGATGTCAACTACGCGTATACAAATTTCATTTTGTGGAAATAAGATTAAATTAATTATATTTACATTAACCTAATAAACCCTAGCCCTATTTTTAGGCCTCTGCTCGAAAATTGCATACCCATGCTAAATAGACTGTAAATCTGTAACTACAAGGTCTATTTTAATAATTTTGATGGTATAATACAGGTCATTATAATCTACAATACCAGCCAGTTTGGCTTTCCGTGTTCAATAGATCTGTTCTGTTATGAGACACTTTGCCCAACAACACATGATCCACACTCCGGAGCAGAAGGTGGCGGTAATGCACCAATAAGATGGATGCCAACCGCCATAAAACCAGAAGAAGAAGAACTTTTGGTTAGGAAACATGTTTGTGTAACGTTACAGCATTGGACTAAGCCTCATATTTTACTGCAGCACTGCATTAGCTAACCGCTAGACTTCAAAATGTTACTGTCTTCAGTACGGACAGCCATCTTTTGCAGTTGCAAAAGTGCTGGAAAGGGACTTCAACACAGCAGCGTGAGTATAAAGCTACCTGCTAACATTAGCTTACTAACGTTAGCTATTAGATAAGCCTGAAAAAGGTCAGACACTGCACTGCAAGCGGTATTATGACACATGTCAGACGTATTCAAAAAGCTAACCCATCGCAACCCACATCCTTTTTGTTTCACGTTGGTGGTGTTTTCAACGTTTATGTACCGCTACGTTTTATGGCAGTTATGAAAGTTACTCTGCGGCTGTCACGTCCGCAACGATAGCTTACGTCACGTTATCAGTCTAACGTAACAGGCAAATTAACGTTAACGGCACTTCACCGAGTTCCGACGTAACATTTACGTGAACTGTCACATTTACGCTAAACCTGGAAAATGAATCGATATGATGAATTTCGCTACAACTTCACTGTATTATTGCAATTTCCAACTTCTAAATTCCACCAACAACCAGAGATATTAAACCAACCAGCCTGCAATCATTTCGTCCAGAAGTGCTGAATATGTAACCGGTCATTAGGTCAAAGTAAACGTATCAGAGGTGAGCATCAATATGCTGCTTTGGAAGCAGACTTTTGCTGTTGAATGCTTTATAAATGAGTATTTCTCTAGTGTAGTTAATATACATTTTTGTTAGCAATGTAAATGTGACAGTTTTTTCTTTTTCTTTATAACACCAGCGGAGTCCACAGCTACGACACTGGCTTGTGAAGAGAGGTCAGAGCACCATCACAGCAGAGGCGGGGGCCTCCTCTGCAGCTACTGTCCAAAACGCTGCCACAAACCGCATATTGGGTCGCTGGTTACTTGGCTGCAGCGGGCTGGTGGTTGGGGCGGTTGTCTTGGGTGGTGTCACAAGGTAAAGTGCCTTAAAAGCAAAGTGTCTGTTTATTTAATTGCCTTCCTTGTGTTGCAGTGGTGTCGATGTGTGCTTATATGTGCATTTGTTTCAATCAGGCTAACAGAATCTGGGCTTTCTATGGTGGACTGGCATCTGGTGAGAGAGATGAGGCCGCCTCAGTCGCAAGTAGAGTGGGAGGCGGAGTTTTCCAAGTACCAACAGTTTCCTGAATTCAAAGTGTGAGGACCCATCTTCTCTGTTTGCCTCCAAGACAGTTTTAAAGGCACCCTATCACAAATTATTTTAAAAATTGCTTGACGTGTCTTAATTCGCTAATGCTTGAACACAACTAAATTTAAGTCTGCAATGTTGTCAGCTTCTTTCACACCTCAGTGGCATGTTGTAAACAAAAGTATTGATTGGGTCCTTATTTTAAAGACACATTTTCTGTTGTCATGTTTCCCCAGAATGAACCATGACATGACTCTGCCAGAGTTTAAGTTTATCTTCTACATGGAGTGGGGTCATCGTATGTGGGGAAGGCTGGTTGGACTTGCGTACATCCTCCCCACCGCTTACTTCTGGAGGAAAGGATACTTCTCTCGCTCCATGAAGGGAAAAGTGCTTGGGCTTTGCGGATTTGTCTTCTTCCAGGTAAGACTCAATACAGCTGCGATAATAGGAAGTTCATCCTTTCTGTACCTCACTCTTAGTGTTGGTATTTTTTTTTTGCATATCAGGATTCACTTCATGATGTTTGTAGTCAAAGACCCCTGTGTGTGTGTGTGTGTGTGTGTGTGTGTGTGTGTGTGTGTGTGTGTCATCTCAGGGCCTTCTGGGGTGGTACATGGTAAAAAGCGGTCTGGAGGAGAAGCCTGAGTCTCATGACATCCCGCGGGTCAGCCAGTATCGCCTGAGTGCTCACCTTGGTTCTGCCTTGTTGCTTTACTGCGCCAGTCTCTGGACAGGACTCACTCTGCTGCTGCCTGCACACAAGGTACAGAGGCAGTCTCTTGCATACAGGCCACCTATGATACAATCAGTGTACATCTAAACCAGGGGTTTCCAAACTTTTTTCAAAGAGGGCCAGATTTGATAATGTGAAAATGCCCAAGGGCCAACAGTCCCTGCTAACATTATTTTAAACAATACAAGTAGCCTATACATACATTGTTATTTAATCATTTTATTTTCAATGACGGCAAATAGCAATGTAACCAAATGTAAGCATTCATGTGTGACCGGACTTTGGGCATGCCTGGCCTAAACCTTAGTTGTTTCCTGTTAAGATGGAAGTTTATTTTAAAAAGACAGTATGCATGTAACAAGTGAAAACAGACTCATGTTGCTGGACTTTTGCAGGAAAAACGCATGAAAAGTGAGGAGTAATATTTCGTAAGATATCAATAAAACGGGGATGAATTTATATCATTGTATAAAGAGAGTGACATGAGAAGATCGATCTCATGTCTGTAAGTTAAATCAGCTATAATCACTATTTTAAAGTGATTAGTGACTCGTCTAAAACATTTAAGGAATAACTTCAATAGAATCATTCTGATACACTGTAGCTTCTTTACATTCTATTAGAATGTAAAGAAGCTACAGTGTTGCCTTTTCTTTTCTTTTCTTCCCACAAGAACGTAATTTTGTCAGGTTGATTAAAAAAAGTCACTTTACTTCCTGATATTGTTACTTTACCGCAGGGGTGTCCAAACTTTTTTCAAAGAGGGCCAGATTTGATAATGTGAAAATGCCCAGGGGTCAACAGTCCCTGCTGACATTATTTTAAACATACAAGTAGCCTATACATACATTGTTATTTAATCATTTTATTTTCAATGACAGCAAATGGCAATGTAAGCATTCATGTGTGAACAAATCTCAACAACTTTTCTGCCTTTCTTTCACATCTTGAAAGTCAGATAACACAAAGAACAAGCCATCTAAAAGCTAATTACATAGAAACCGATCAATATTCTCACCTCAAGACAATCTTAAATATGACTTAGTGATTGTAATGGAAAGTTGTCTCACATTTAAGTTCAACACACATGAAACAGGCTAACAAAAAAAATCAAGTTGTCTCTTAGTATCTGATGATAGCTCTTCAGTGTTACGAGCCAGGCAAACATTAGCAAACTCTGTCTTCTTCTCGGGGCAATTATGTTTTCTGCTATTTTCATAACACAGTCTTTGATAAACTCACCTTCCGTAAAAGGTTTGTCATGTTTAGCAGTTAGCATGGCCACTTGGTAGCTTACTTTGATGATGTTTTCATGTGAAAAGGACCGCTGCTGTGTGGCCAAGTTATCTTGGAGTTGCTTCACTTTTCTAGCACGGTCGCTCTCTGATAGCTTGTTGTAGCATTAGCATGTTTGGTCTCGTAGTGTCTCTTTAGTTTACATTATATTCCTTAAACAAGGCAACAGTATCATGACTAATTAGGCAGACAGTTGTTTCGGTTTTCGGTGAAAAAAATATTGCGATCTCCACCTCTCCTGGGGTACATCCCAAGTCTCTTAATTGTCGTTTCCTCGCTCCTCGATCCTCGCTTGAACCGGAAGTTGTTTCTGCGCCGCCATATTGACGGCCGTCCCAAAGCTCTAAAGTAGCTCGGAGGAGCGAGGATCGAGGATGGAGGAGGGACCTCGGAGGAGCCATGAGCGAGGAACCACGAGAACAGACTTCCAGGAAGTCTTTTAATGGCCGACACGCCCCCTTATTGTTCATCAGTCATGTGATTGGACGCTGCAGCCGATCGGGCTGACTGACTGGAGTTTAACACCAGAGTGAAGACAGATCACAGAATAAACTCTAGTTTATATTTGATTAGGTTTCTGATTCACCGTCTGGTTTAAATATATGTTTATTGTAGTCTGAACAACAAAATGACTACAAACAACTTTCTTCATTTGTTAGAAAGATTTGTGTTTTCATGATCTGATGTTTCCCTCAATAACTTTTATTATAAATACAATTAAAGTCAGGAAAGGACGCAAGTGAGGGAAACGGGGATGCAATTAAGAGACTTGGGATGTACCCCTGGAAGCAGAGGCCCTCATTACCGACTTTCCTTTTTCTTTTTTTTTTAATTGCCCTAGCCATGACAGTTCAAGGGTCAGAGCCAATTTCAAACAGCCAGACAGTTACAGAGTGGTGCTGCCACCATGAGGTAAAAAGAGGAATTGCATGTTGAATTTGTATGATTTATTCATTCCGTTTTGACTGTGCTGGCGGGCCATAAATAATGCATTTTAAGACAGAAGGTGCAGGCCATATAAAATCTGACCTCAGGCCGTGATTGGCCCGCGGGCCGGACTTTGGACATGCCTAATCTAAACTAATACATAACCTCGATCTGTGTGAGCAAATGTCACGGTGTGTCAAGTTTTTTTGTATTCCTGACGGCATCTCTTTTACAGCTGGTAGAAACCAATCGTCTCATGCAGCTTAGGAGGTTTGCCAAGGGTACGGGTGGACTCGTCTTCCTTACTGCTCTTTCAGGTACTGTTTGTTCTGGTGTGAATGCAACGTCATCAAATAACATCAAACACAAATATCTGAATGCATTTCTCTTAAAAGTGATATAGTGATAGCAGTGCTTTCAGTTTCAAGACCCTTTGAGGATGCAAATAGATACTTAGCTAGTTGCCATATTTCAAGCTAAGGTAGTACAGTAACATTTACTGAGAGCATATTCAACGAGAGATATAACAAAATGGAATATAAGTTATTGTATATCTAATGTTGCAGACTGTTAAGATAATATAAATGAATGTAGTCT